ACTACTCTTGCAAAACATTAGCTTGTTTCTTGAATGTCAATTGCTCATTTGCGTCAAAATATCACTAGAAAGTGAGCTTACGCTAGTCCCATACTCGCCTCCAGTCACCACACCACTTTCTACCCAATACTCCCAGGCCTTGATAGGGTAGCCTCCATTACAACTGAAACTAGCAAGAAGTCAGAACACAAAGGAGGAAAAATGGAAATACTAAGAAATGACAAGACTAGATAAGTGTTAAATTACCCATATCCACATTCTTTGCAACAGGCGAGAATTTCATCCGCGGAAATAGTTGGTCTTAGCTTGCCTCTTGAGGCTATGCAGATTCTGTCGGTTATTGCTTCTACTGCGCCAAAAGCCCAGCAGGATCCTAGAGGGTGTTCTGAGCTGATCCATTACTTATCAAACGTCGCTCTCACCACAGTTGCTCTGATCACGTATAAATCCAATCGATTTGCATCCTGGCCACCACGTCCGAGCATCAAATGTATCAGGAAGAGTGATATTCAAAAACCTTAAATCTTTTTGCTTAACAAATCATGCCAAATTAATTTTTAGAAGGACGAGAAGAATTTAGAAAATAAAAACTAAAACCTTGTGGGGCTCATTCGTTTTAACGCTTCAGCAGGCAGACGCACATCTTTGACGCCAAGCATATAATTTCGATTATAAAAAGAGAACTGCTTGTTGATTTTGGCCTGAATATATTCGGTGCAATTTGTTTTACCCTCATACAGAGTGTTCCTAGAAAGTAGTATCCCTAGAAATGTGCCCACAGTTTGATCTATAACTCCTTTATTTCCATATATTACTGGATCCCACGAACATAGTTTGAGAGGTTAGCTTTTGGTCAGGTTTCCATTTAAAAGGAATCATGTACTTTCGGTGGTTGTGGTAGCAATGCATATAAAGTTTTGAGAGACTTCAGTTCAGCCTACCATACGTTAAGCAGTTTCCAATGTTTTCAGAACAATTTTCGTTAGGGCCACCCAGTTCTACTGTAATTTCATCACGAGATACATATTACAAATTCCCTTTAGGAGTGTTCTAAGCTTAAGATAGCTTTTCAAATTTGAGAACCTTGAACTGCTCAATAAAAGAGTTATTAACGTTTACTTAGTGGGTACAATTCTGGGAAGTACCTGCAATGATTGAAATTGTTGCAGGCACCCGCTTTTGCGTATGAATTAATGGTCACCATACTACCGGCGCTCGCAAAAAAGCTGGTCTGGATAGCGTATTACGATTGAAAAACAATGCTTTAAGCTGCTCAAGACTTCCCTTGTGCGGCTGCGAAACAACTTTAAGTAAGCCAAAGAGTCTTACTCGTAACAAGTGAAAAAAGTTTTGCTCGCTACAATTGGGGCACCCTGCAAGATTTTGCGAAAGCTTCAATTTTGACATCTAACATAACCCAGGTTTTTCGGTAAGAGTTCTACTTCTGACGCAGTGTGGGCCTTTGCGTGAGGCTGATTAAGTAGAGCTTAAGTTAAGAGTTGAGCAAGATTCGACACGCTC